CACACACACCTCTGCAGCTCCAGCCGCCATCCGTGCGCAGCGCGGAAGAGGGGGGCAGCGCGGGTTGCAGGATGAGGAAGAGGACAGGGTGGGGGAGAAACCGCTTCTGATCCTTTACTGAGCAGCCGGCCCCTTGCCCCGCCGCCGCCCCTGGGTGGGGGCACCTGTCAATGTCGTTCTCCCCTTGGCCTGGCAGAGGGATTGTAATGGAGGGAGAAGGCGGCGGAGGGCAGAGATGACTAAGACAGGGAGGCAGGATGGCAGGGAGGGGGGAGCCATTTGCACAACCTAATCCCCCTCCTGTCTCTGATCCCACAAGGCGCTGGGAGGGCCGGGTGGCAAGGAGTCGGGGGCAACCACAAAGACAAAGGGTGTCCTGGGTTTAGGGAGGCAGGCAGGGTCGTGACCCCCACCCCAGGGTCCCCCAAAAAAGGGGAGGTGGAGATGGCTTTTTTGGGTGCTGAGAAGGAGAGAGAGAGGATGACGCTCTCGGCCCGGTGCTGGAGACCGAGTGGGGGCTGGGCAGACTGAGGGGGGGCGGGAGAATTGACACTGACCGGCCCACTGTGTCACCTCCCTCCCTCGCCTTCTTCAGAAACCCTAGCTTTGTGCCAATGACCTTCATGGCTAAAGAAGCGAACTGACATGTGGGAGAGGGAGGCAGGTAGAGGCTTTCGCCCTCAGAGGGACAGCAGTTCTGGGCCAGACATCCTGGGTCCAAGCCAGCTTCTGCTGTGAAACCTCAGGCGAGTCACTGCCCTCTCAGAGCCTCAGTTTCCCCATCTCTAACATGGACAGTTGGACCGGGTGGTTGTTCCTGCCCCACAAATGACCTGGGAAGCCCAGTGTCAACCCCAGGGATGAGAGGGAAGGATTCTGCCTGGAGCTATGAATCTGGGGGGGCGGCCAGACCCATCTGGTCAGCAGAGGGGGATGCCGTCTGTCTCCCAGGGACAGGCTCCCAAAGAACCTCCCTCCTAGTCACGTGACCCCCCCAAAGCAGCAGAGGCACAGGCAAGAGACACACAGATGGTTCCCGTCCCTACGCCTGGCCGTCAGAGTGAGGGGGTGGGAGGACCCTGGAGACAATAAAGCCCCGGGGTCTTCGTGCTTTATATAGCACTCGTGGACATCCAGAACTTTCCAGTGTACAAGCCATAGGCCTGCCTTTCATCCATTGGACATCTGCTGAATGCCTGCTCTGTGCCTGCTGCATGCTCTGAGCAGGGGGCACAGAGGGGAAGGTGACCTCAGCTCCCACCTGCTGGGCCCTTCCCATGTGCCCCATGCCATGCAATATGGGATGGGTCACAACAGCCCCATGAGGCAGGTACCATGATGCCCATCCTGCAGGTGAGGAAACTGAGACACTGAGGTTAGAGGCCATGTCCAAGGTCACAGGGCCAGGAAGGACAGCATCTATTAGACTCCAATCTGGAGCCTGCACAGCCTCTAAGAGCCCAGCTCTGCACTGAGCAAAGGGATGTGCAGGGGTGTGGGTCCCCATTTTCCCCATCTGAGTGATGGGCAGACTGACAGCTGCTGCCTTGCCTTCCTGAGACAGTGGCCGTGGGGCTCCAGTGAGTTCATGGGTGTAAAAGCCCCCTTTTGTAAACACGTGGGAGGAAGGTCTTGATTGTCAGTTAGGTTTGGGGCCTGCATGTGCCAGTATAGACCAGGCCCCTGCCCTTTTGGAGTTCACTGTCCAGCAGAGAGAGGTGCCAGTAAGTAGACAGCACAGCAGGCCAGCCTGGTCACAGTTGACGTCGGCAACTGTTTGCTTGTTGAGTGATGGAGTGAGATGTGGATTCTGCCCCAGGAGGCCTGGGCCCTCTCGCAACCCAATACTGTTTGACTGTGGCCCTGCAGGAGGATGCACGGGGTGTACAGACACAGGCCAGGGGCAGAGCAGGGGTCACTGGGCCTGAGGCGGAGGAGTGAGCAGGGAAGCATTACTTGATCCTCATGAAAGCTAGTGAGGAGGCCGGTGTTGGAGTGCAGTCAGGAAACTGAGGTTCACCGGGGCCCCCAGCCAGCCCTGCCTGGTCTGTCATGGGTCCCAACCTCTCTACCTAGGACTAGGACTAGGTCCCCAGACGCATAAGCATGGTAACAGCCTCCTGGGGCTTCCCGGGAGTCAACCCCCCATGGAAAGGAAGTGGAAAATACAACAGAGGAAGCAAAGATTGCTCCAGGCCAGCCCGGGCTCCCGGGCAACCAGGAGGACCCTGTTGTCAGCTCTGCAATGGAGGTGACCCAACCAGCTGCCCAGGACCCCGCTAGGACTGGTCTGGGTCTATGCTATTTCTTTGTACCCCTTTTACAGAAGGGAAAACTGAGGCTAATTCATTGAGTCATTCGGCAGATATATGAAGAAAACTGGGGAATGGGGTCAATGCTGGGAGAGAAAAGGGCCACTTTCCACAGGGAGGTCAGAGAAGGTCTCTAGGAGGTGGTGGCATCTGACAGGAGAACTGAGGGATGAGAAGCCACGTGACTATCTGGGGAGAGCATTCTCAGTGGAGGGAACAGCAAATGCAAAGGCCCTGGGGCAGTAATGAATTTGGTGTGTTTGAAGAACAGAAAGGAAGCACTGGGGCTGGTGTTTTGTGAGCAAGGCGGACACAGCATCGGGGAGTAGGCTGGGGCTAGATCTACAAGGCCCTCAGATTATGCTGAGGAGCTGTGTTTGTTTTCATTATTATCAGAAGCTTTTAAGTAATGGAGTGACTTGAGCTGATTCCAGCAAGTATGTGACTTGGGAAGGGGGGCAGGAGACACATGAGGAGGCTGCTGCGGTGGGCAAAGGTGACAGGGCCTGGACCAGGGCTTTAGCAGAGAGAGGAGGAGACCTGTGGGGTTCAGGATGTATTTTGGAGGAAAGTCCCACAAAACCTGCTGGTGGATGGGATGTGGAAGGTGAGGGAAGAAAAATCCAAGATGACTTCCGCACCTTTGACCGCAGGTGGGTGTTGGCGCCATTAACAGAGTACGGGAGGAGCCAGTTGGGGGGCTGGGGGTAAGATCAGGAGTTTGGTTTTGAACTCTCTGAGTCTGACATGTCAGGTGGGCAGTGTGGTGATGCAAGTCGGAAGCTCAGGGGGAAGGCTGGCTGGAAATATAAATTTGGAAGAGACGGGATGTAAACTCGTGAGCATAGATGAGATCATCTTGGGGGTAAGTGCAGACAGAGGAGTGTGTGTGGGCCCCAGGACACCCCAGCATTTTGTGAGCAGATGTCTGGTGCCCTAGGTTTCCCTTTGTCTGCCCCCAGCTGCGTGCCCCCTCCCCACAATACCCATCCGGCATCAAGTCTGGTGTCCTGGGCTAGGTTTCCAGCCTCCGGCGCCCCTGGCCTTGCTTCACTTTGGTGCCCAGGCATGCTGACACTTGGGCATTGTCCACCTTCCCTCCCGTTTGGCCCCTGGGGAGGCCAAGGCCAATGGGAGTGTGGTAGAGGGGCTGAGCGCTCAGGCTCTGGAATCAGACCTGGGTTTGTAGCTTACCTCTGCCACTTACAAGCTAGGCAACATTGGGCATGTTTCTTAAACCCTGCTCGGCTTCTATTTCCTCATCTGTAAAGTGGGGATGATAATAACACCTCCCTCATGGGATTGTGGCGAGTGTTGACGTCATACCCGTGAAGCACTTGGGGTAAGGTCTGGCACCCATTCTGTTCCTGCCTGGGCATAGGTACCAGCTGGGAGGAGGGCCAGGGTGAGGGTGGAGGTGGGAGAATCTCCTCTAGCCAGGGTAGCGAAGGGAGCCTGGGGAGTGAGCCTCTGCCCAGAGCCCACGGGGCAGCCTGGGGGTAGTGTTTTGGGTTTCCCTGGTGACTCTGCCTACCCCTGCTCAGGCTTCCTGCCTCCTACCAATCCCCTTGCCCCTTTCTCTGCATTCGCGTCCCAGCACAGACCTGTGCTGGTCTCTGGCCTCAGAGAGCCCCTCTCTTGGTCAGTCCCAGCTCCTGCCATGGGGGACAGCCCACTCCCCACTACTAAGATCTGTCACTTCCTCTGAACACTTCGGGCTACATCTTAGTGGTCCCATTTCCCAGGTTTGGAGACTGAGGCCAAAGATGATTAGGGGATAATTGAGACATCAAAAGTAGAAAGTCACTGACTGGAGGCGGCAGAGAGAACTGA